CATATTAGGGTATTTCCCAAAAAATTTTAAACTGCTTTTACTAAAGATTGGGACAAACGATTTAACTGAAAAATAAAAATAAATTAATTTCTTTTTTTCTCCATGTAACCAATTAAAGTTGAATTTATTTATAATGGTTTTGAATTTACCGCCAAACCGCTCGGTTCGATGACGTCTATTGTGTGAAGCACACGCCACCAACCTAAACTGTGTTTCTTTATGTTTGCCGAATTATACTCAAATCGGTCAAGCCATTTTTCCGTTCCAATAAATTTTCACATAACAGTTCCTATTATCATTAAGTATTGGTGAATAATATGTAATAACAATCTACCACCATTACTGTAACGTAACCATTCCATATGATTCATGTTATTATTAATGTATATATTTATGAATAGGTATATGGCTAAAACGCGGCGGATATCCTCAATTTGATTTTTTTTTGGACAAAAGACCTCAAAGTTAGATGCAGACTGACACTTAGTGGGCATTCATTGAACGGTATTTTTAATTTTAACGTTTGACTCACACTGTGGGTTGTCTAAGTCCAGGAACTATTGATCAAATTACAATTCGAGTGAGCCACGCGCGGACAAATGTATTTTATTAAAATATTAGATGAATCATGGTGACCTACTTTTTTGGTCATACAACAACACAAGCTTTTATGTTGACAAATAATATAATAATAATAAATATTTCCAACACTCACACCAATTAGCCTAGCCCCAAAATAAGCACTGTAAGGCTTGTGTTATGGGATACTAGGGTAACGGATAGAATACATATACTGTACATATATAAGTATATTTATATAGAAATACATATTAAACATCCATGACTGGAGTACAAATACTCGTGTTCATCACACAAACATCTGCCCCCACCGGGATTCGAACCCGAGACCTCTCGAGTCGGCGACGACACCATGAAACCCGGCGTACAAACCACTCGGCCACGGAGGTCGTCAAATATGACACGGCAGAAATGGTCATGGCAGTCGCCGAGGTGCTAAATTATGCAATGTAAGTTTAATAATTTTCAGTATTAACCGCATAGGCACTCAAGCATAAGTTATATAATAAAAAGTAATTCTGATATGAGTAATGCGAAACGGAATTCACAAAATAGATAAACTACCTTCAAACCTGGAGCTACAAAAATTTAAAGATAACGCAGGATAGCAAATGATAATAATACATTACACCAAACACAAGTGGCTGTCTCTTAGTAAGTTACACCTGCCTAAAGCACTGTATTAGTTTTAATGAATATTGAAATAGAGATGGAATAGGGATGATGACTATTTTTTTTTCTTCGTTTATCAGGTAGATTATCAAAAAGTATTGGACACGTTTTTTTTCTTTTTTCACATAATATAAACATTGCAGAGATATATTGATTTGATAATTCGCATGACGTCACGTTTTACAATTAAACAAGTACAATTTTCACTCGAAAGTGACGTCACGAGCCCCCACTCCCAAACTTTGACGCGCTATAACTTTGTAATTTTTTGGTTAATTTCCCAAAGAAAAAATACGTGTCCATTATTTTTTGATCATCTAACTGACGGACTAAATAGAATTTCGTTTACTGTACCCCGTCATCACCCCTATTGGTGTTACCATTATGAAATTTAAATATGCTGATAAATCTCTGGACTTTGTATAAAACTCCCGACTTTTTAGTCGCAAAATACAATTATTATATATTTTGTGTAAGGTAGCGGATTTCTAAAATAAACACTGATGTATCATTTCTTCTGGACGTCTCGCTATGGAAATACTGAACTAAAAAAGCCAGATCGAATCCAGACAGACAATCATATAAACGCACAGACATGTCTGGTTAAACAAACTGTAAACTCACTCACTGTGTCCTAACAAACTGTAAACCGCAAGCTGGGCAGGTACTGCCTGTGCGTACTCCATCTAAGTCTTCATTCTCACTTTCTATCAGTTATGCATTCTATTAGAATTAAAAATAAGACTCACGATTTTTCTGGGGTCGTGGAATCTGGTACGGTTAAATTCGCATAAATGGTAAACCTAGACCCTGGGTTCCGAACCCGGGGGGTAAATCAGCCATACTTCGGGGGTAACAAAGAACCTAATTATTTGGTCAAATCTAAATAATAAGAAAATACTATATAATAATACTACTAAATAGAGCATGCGCTCCTTCTTGCTAGCGAGCCCGCGGGGTGCTGAGTGTGGGAAGCGGGGCGAGATTTTCTCCTGATGATGACATTAGTAGAGACGAAGGTGTAGCGGCCTAATTGGAATTTCTTGGACTGATGATAAAACTTCAAAGTCGGGGTGAAATCTGTTTTCCTAATAGGTTACAGGGGTAGCAGTATTGGAAAGGTTAGGAAACACTGGTCTAGACGGACTGGATCTTGTTCGTAGAAAAGAAGGAGAATTATGAGTCACTAGTACCGAGCTAGTTGGATAGCTATCCTATAGCTAGAATTCTCTTGAGGTTGCGGAAGTCGGCCCAAGCTAGGATGGATCTTAAATGTAGACTTAGGTAGGTCAACTTGCTAGATATTTTGGACTTGCAATTCTCCTGGGGCCGTGGAAGTTGACCCCGACCTGTGATGGAAGGATCCTGATTTGAATGTAGATTTAAGTTAATTGATAGATCTCAAATAGTCTTTAAAAGACTTAAGTTCGTTGGCCAACTAGCTTAACACGTTGGACACAATCTTCTGGGGTCAAGAAAGTTGGTACCAAGCGGTTAAGTACACACAAATGGTAAACCTTGGACGACCTCCGTGGCCGAGTGGTTCGTACGCCGGGTTTCATGGCTGTCGCCGACTCGAGAGGTCCCGGGTTCGAATCCCGGTGGGGGGATATGTTTGTGTGATGAATACGAGCATTTGTACTCCAGTCATGGATGTTTAATATGTATTTATATAAATATACTTATATATGTACAGTATATGTATTCTATCCGTTACCCTAGCATCCCATAACAGAAGCCTTATAGTGCTTACTTTGGGGCTAGGCTAATTGGTGTGAGTGTCGGAAATATTTATTTATTTATTATTTACCTAGATGGAACGAATCTTGTAAGTAGGTAGACATAGACTAGTAGTGCAACTATCTACACATGTTACACGTATAATTTTTATTTTTTTAAAGCATGTAACTGCTTGATGTTTAAATATAAAGAAAATATAACTAGAAAAATATTCCACGCGGACCAGGCAGCAGACGGGACTCGAACCCACACCCTTCGCAATCCGGGCGAATGCACTGACCAATTATGCTACCACGGCCCTCACGGACCGCGTCGAAATTCTTCTAGCCATTCTTAAGCTGCAAGGCAGTGCCATCTCTTTATAGCTCTCGCATTATAGATGCCTGGTCCGCGTGGAATTTTTTCTAGTTATATTTTCTTTATGTTAGACGTATACTTCTCCTGGGATCACGGAAGTTGGCCCCTGTTGGATATGATGGATCTCTTAAATGCAGGCAGACTAGTTGGGCAACTGGCTTAGTAATCATGACTCACAATTCTCCTGGGGTAGCGGAATCTAGTGCCAAACGGTTAGGGGTGATCGATAAAGTACGTCACACTAATTCCGCGATATTTGAAGTGAAAACTTCTTTAGCGGCCTTGTACACTTTTTTGTAATGGGTAAAAACTGTTAAACTCGCGTCTGGACACGTGGCCACATGACCTAATTGAAAATTTGTACCAAGAAAACAATAAGGTAAGAAAAAAAAATGCAACACACCAATTAGACCAGGCCCAAAGTAAGCACTGTAAGACTTGTGTTATGGGATGCTGGGGTAACGGATAGAATACATATACTGTACAGTACATATATAAGTATATTTATATAGAAATACATATTTAAACATCCATGACTGGAGTACAAATGCTCGTATTCATCACACAAACATATCCCCCCACCGGGATTCGAACCCGGGACTTCTCGAATCGGCGACACCATGAAACCCGGCGTACAAACCACTCGGCCACGGAGGTCGTCGGAAAGGTTGCTGACTTTCAATATATTGGACGAAACATAGTAATATTTTATTTTATCGTATTATAATTATAAGTCTCTAATTAGGACTTCCAGGTGGCAGCTTAATTGCGAAGAAAATGTTTTTTTTTACAATAGATGTCGCTAGGTGCGCTTAAATGAGATTTATGTAATTTGATTTTTTTTAAAAAGATAAACTTTTTAATGTAATATAAATTGTCATGTTTATGTACGATAGCGCAATAAATAAATATTGTATTCTGCCACATAAATGATAGTACTTTTATACTGATAATTAAAGCAATTCGTGCAAAATTATTCCCTAACCATTCCAAAATATTAAAAATGCACAACGTTAATATTCAAGTTTTCACTTCCACCGGCACTCCCGGAGTGCAACCCGTCTTCTTTTACACCAAAAACTTATACAGATAAGAGTTCTAAATATTTTTATTTTTTTTGATAATAGTTAAAAGTATTAGCCATTGAAACTTAGGTCCCCTCCCACCCCTTGTCACACGATGTCACACTTCGTCGACCCCCTCCCTCCCGCTTTACTTGTGACGTACTTTATGGACCACCCCTCAAGTCCGCACAAAAGGACAACCTAGATCAGTGTTTCCTAACCTTTCCAATACTGCTACCCCTGTATCCTATAAGGAAACCAGATTTTACCCCGACTTAAAATATTATCATCAGTCCAAGAAATTCCAATATGGCCGCTACATCTTCGTCTCTAATAATGTCATCATCAGGAGGAAATCTCGCCCCGCTTCCCACACTCAGCACCCCGCGGGCTCGCTAGCAAGAAGGAGCGCATGCTCTATTTAGTAGTATTATTATATAGTATTTTCTTATTATTTAGATTTGACCAAATAATATGGTTTTTTGTTACCCCCGAAGAATGGCCGATTTACCCCCGGAGGGGTAATTACCCCCAGGTTCGGAACCCAGGAGCTAGATGGAATGTATCTTGCAGGTAATGACGACTCACAATTCTCCTGGGGTCGCGGAAGCTGGTGCCGAGCTGCGCGATGTCCTGGTCGTCGCAGTCTAGGGCAGCGGCCGCGCCCGCCGCGTCGCCCGCGCCCGCGCCCGTCCCCGCGCCGGCGCTGCTCGAGCTCAGCTGCCCGGACACGATGCGGATGGCCGCCACCCATTCTTCGCTGCAATTCAATGCACCGCGTTAACTGACGGGATTGTAACGTAATGAAAACGTCACATGAGTTTTGTTTAATTCAAGTTTTTTTTTGAGTGTGTATGCTGTTGGGCCCAGATGACCTTTACAGCGTCACCGGGATTGGGGACGGCGAGATCCTAAGGGGACCTCAAGCCGAGAATTGGCGAGTACCTCTAGAGGTATTCCAGGCGGAAGGCGTCTCCCCACGGGGGGAGTCTCCACTCCGTCTGGAACCTCCAGACCACTCGAACCTGAGGGGGTCGGCTCAACTAGAGAGCGTCTCTGAGGCTCGGACCTCGGCTCTAGTTAGCCGTTGTCGTGAGGGCGGGTTAATTGAAGTGTGAGGGATAAGAGAGGCGGTCTCCGTTTAGATCGTCTTGCTCGGTCCCGTTTTCTTTTTCGAGTGCAACGAATACTAATAAACCGTTTCTGCTTGTTGTTCCCTTTTTTCACATATTATATGACAATGCTTAAACGCTCATTCCACCTGTCTAAATTTAGACGTTCGAAATCATTCGGTAACTAATTCAGTCGAGTGAAATAGCATTTAGGAAGTTAGGATCCTAGTTAGCATCTTAAATCGGAAGAAGTATGGCTTCTGACTGACTAAATGATTTAGTATCCTAATTAGAACGCGATTTAGGCCTGTATTACTGAATGACAACTAAGTGTTGATCTTTACTTATAGATATATGCTCAAGACTAGATTCATTACTGAGAATCTTTCTATAATACGGGCCTTAGGCCATATACAGAAAGAAAGCCGATCCTTCCTACATAAAGGAAGCCGATTAAAGCAGATCAAGCAAAATGTCGGACTCATCGGACGATGATCTGGTTTTGTTAGAAAATGTGTATTTAAAAATGCGAAAAAAAGCTATACATCCTATAAATAGAGAAAGGAAACATTTCGGAGAATACCATAATTTATTTGTAAAAAAATTTAAATTTGATGAACAAAGATTTTATACATATACAAGAATGATTCAAGAAACATTTTATTACATTTTGGATTAAGTGAAAAACCGTTTGATGAAAAATTGGTGCAATTGGCATAAACAAACAATCCTTCCAGAAGAAAGACTTGTTGTCCCCATTCGGTAAGTACGAAACAAATAATTTTAGCGCTTAGTTAATAAAAGATAAAGTTATTAGATTTATAAAAAGATGATAACTTAGATTGATTTAATCTAAGGATAATAATTCAAATACAAATTATTTATTATTCGGACCAGCGCGTGTCGGCACTTATCGGCGCAGATAAGCGCCGATAGGCGCTGATCGGAGCCGATCGGCTTTCGGCTTTCTTTCTGTATACGGCCTTAGGGTGCGGCCAGAGTGCACTCAGATTCAGAGTCAGATTCAGACTCTGAAAACAAGCGCGAGAAATAAACAGTGTAGTCTAAGCAGGTTGCCTGCTTTTTCTCGCGCTTTGTTTTCTGAGTCTGAATCTGAATCTGAATCAGGAGTGCACTCTGGCCGTACCCTTCGACTACACTGTTTATTTCTCGCGCTTGTTTTCGAAATCTGAATCTGAATCTGAGTGCACTCTGGCCGCACCCTTAGGAAGGTGTAGTAATAGCGTTTAGATGCGTCAGTCGCACCGCAGGTGTCACTGCGTGAGGACGTGTTATGTCTACGATTACGAATAACGCGAGTGGACGATATCGGCGGTAAAAGAAAAAGAAGTTATGAGTAACATAATCGAATTGTATAAACATATGCCGTATCTTTGGAACAAACACAATAAAAATAACATTTATAATATTAATATTCTTTCACCCACATTTTTCGTTTTTTACTTTATTTTATTTTTATTGAGTCAACGGCCAGGCCTACGAGAAGACAGATTTTTTGTTGCTTTGACAGGACTGGAGCCATTATGAAAAAGTCCGACTGAATTCGGACTTGTAACTGACTGAATCAGTAACTAAATTAGTCAAGTGTAATCAGAAGCTTCTAATTAGCCTTCTTTTCAGGATCCTAACTAGGACGTCTGAATTTAGTCAGGTGGAAAAAGCGCTTTAGCACTTGCTTCACTAAAAACCCTAGCTAGAGCAACGTGTACCAACATTCTAAAATCAAGTTAAAGCTTAATCATAACACAACCAGTCATCTTTGTCAATTGTTAAAAGTTAAAATAGAGACAGAAAAACGTTTAAACATGTATATCTTTTAAATTGGATTTAAGAACATTGGTGCAAGTGGACCTCATGGCGCGATTACACTTGGTCTTTAGATTACATTTAGTTCTAATACGGGTGCCTATGGAATTCGGATAAACGAATATGTGTATGGCTCAATTATAATGCGATTCAAATAAGAATAGGAAAGCCAATGACCTTTATTTGTCAAATGTCGCTTGAAAAGTACGGTTTGCTAAAAAAAACTTGAAAGCCTTTTTTAGCACTCCGCTAATTCAAGAATAAAAACCAAACATTTGTAAACAAACAATAACAAATATTGATAATTAATATCGGTTGATATTTTTTTTCACTTATTGAGCTTTGGCCATGAATGGTTGATAACCTAAATCGTCAACCAAATGTCACTTTAAGTTGCGTTCAGAAACTCGATTTCAAACTTTCGTTTACACAAAGGATACATGTTCGTATGTGACCTAGTAATAGTGCACGATTATTCATAACTACTCCGGCGGTAATGCAGAGATGAACGGAATAGAAGAGCTAGATTCTGATTAATGTTTTTTCTCACACTCTGAATAAATAAATATTATTAAAAATCGGTGTTTTTTTTTTCTCAATCTTAGTAAATATATGGTATTGAAAAAATCTGATGCTTTTTCTCACTTAATCTTAGTAAATAAGTTTTATAAAATATAAACTTTTTTATGCTCACCTATTTGGTTGTAATTGACAGCTATGACATCACAATATGGCGCCCAGTCGGTCCTATTCTTAATTGAATCGCATTATACATTTGGTCGTTAAGTGCACGAAAGACATTACTCGGATTCGGGCACCCGAAGCAATATTTACACTGAAATACGGGCTGGAAGACGATATCGGGTAACCAAAACGAAAACTACCTGAATACGGGGGCGTACTTGACTCCGTTCATTTACACTTAGCCGAATTCTATTGGCACTTGCATTCGGCTAACGAACAACTGTAATCGCGCCATGAGGTCCACTTGCATCAAAGTTTTAAATCCAATTTAAAAGCTAATCATGTTTAAACGTTGTTCTGTCTCTACTTTAACTTTTTACAATTGACAAAGATGGCTTGTTATGGATTAAGCCTTAACTTGATCTTAGAATGTTTGTACACGTTGCATTTGTAAAGGAAAATAAATTATTATTATTATTATTATGCTCTAGGGTTTTTTAGAAAGCTTATACCAAAACATACCTTGATAAATTAGAATGAATTAAATCTAACTAGCAAACCAGTGAACCAAATGTTCACCAAAACCTGATTTAAAAAAAAAATGTATTTAATTAATTGAGAACTTCGGAGATTTTGTGTGGTTTCGTTTGAAATTCGTGATTTCTCGAAAACCGGAAGTGCTACGTTACTCAAATCCGGTTTGCAGTCTTATCAGACTATTCTTAACTTATAACTTAAATATTCTCTTTATCTATCTCTTACGGTTTGGCCGCTGAAACAGCACCACAGACAGACGGACTTGTCTAATAGATAAGAGATTTATAAAATTCTCGTGTCGCGGTGTTTGTGGTTAAACTCCTCCGAAACGGCTCGACCGATTTTCGTGAAATTTTATATGCATATTCAGTAGGTCTGAGAATCGGATGTAATCTATTTTTCATCCCCCTAAATGTTAAGGGTAATCCACCCCTAATTTTTTTTTCCATTTTAGATAATTTTTTACCTCTTTACAGTCAGTTCTTTAATTTGTTATTTCTTAAGTAGTATGTATAGTTCTCGGGCGACCATAATAATAAAACTGTCACTTGATAGATGGTGTCGCTTTGACAAAGATGGCTTGTTATGTTATGATTAAGCCTTAACTTGATTTAAGAATGTTGGTACACATTGCTCTAGGTTTTTTAGTGGAGTAAGTGAAAAATGAACAGTGTCGAGTATGCCCGTGCCAGAAATTGGAGTTATGTGTTCCGTGCACCCGAATACGGGCTAGTGATCAAATGTTGTTGAGCCATTAGTCTTTCCTGTTTCCAGCATCCCCTTAATTTACCTTTTTATCTTGTTTGTTAATTTTTAAATTTGTCGGTTTCTAGGAGCAATCAACACATATGTAATAATGTGAAAAGATATTTATAATTTCTTTTTTTATTGACCTTGGATATTTTTTTTTGTTTGAAAATTTTTCAATTTCGTAAGGTTGCTAGCAACCCATTTACATACATATAATACCCTATCATAAGTAATGTCACGTTTTTAGTCTGTAGCAGTTTATTAAAATTAACTCAATCACTGTAAAATGTCAATCAGTCCATGCCCGATATTCGTGTAATCATAGTGAAATTAATATACCAGTTTTTGATTGATTTTTTTGAATTACAATAACCACAAACTACCTAATAACATAATGAGACATGAACGGACTCATTATCACTGCTTTAGTTACCTATTGAATAGAATACTTTTGATGCTCTGGCAACAAAAATTACAGAAATAAAATTGCAGATCAATAACTAGGTATGTTATTTTAAATTATAATAATTATATTTGTTTCTTAGGTCACTCATTAAATAAAACTGTTTTTGCGGGTTAATGCACTAAATTTATTTATATATTGACGTTTCGCAGCCTTTTAGGTCTGCATCGTCAGAATATTGATTTTTTCATTACTTGTATCAAGTCTTTCGAAGGTAAGTAATAAAAAATCATTATTCTGACGATGCAGACCTGAAAAGGCTGCCAAACATCAATATATAAATAAATTTAGTGCTTGGCACTAATGTCATAAAAATGTTAAGTCTGCCAGAGACTGACTACCACCCTCCATACAAATTAGAACCGTTTCCTTTATTAATTCATGAGACATATTTTCCTAAATATATAATACTAGTGGCCCGCCCTTGCTTCGCTTTGGTGTAGAGCTGTAGTGTAGACTATAGTTTTTGTCCTCAGGCTTGTATTATACACAATGAATTTCTTTATATAATTATAAACCCCATGAAAATTTATTTAACTGATTGTGAAAATTTTGTTGCACATTGGACCCATTTAGTTGTACCAAATACACTATTTTTTTGGTACAACATGCAAATCTCAGGAATTATTGTCCGATATAATATAAATTAATATTTTTGTGTTAGACAGTGCATTTATTGAGAAAAGCTGCAGGCTATTTAACATTACACTGTAACCCATAGTAGCGGAGTATCAATGTAAATTGTTGCAAAACTGGGTAAAAATATTATATTTGGGAGATTCCGTTCCGTGCGCTTGTAAATGATTAAAGTTACAGTATACAATAATCATGTATGACGAAATTATTGCCCTTTAAAAGTTCTATAAAAAAGTCCAGGACAGCGTATGCCAACTTTTAAGTATGACTTACTATAACCTTTTTCCTCAAATGAACACAGGTGAAACCGCAGGGGACCTTAAGTTGTGACGTAATGTCACTTTGCTCTATTGTCAATGACTTTCGCAGCGTAAGCGATATTAGGTTATTTTTTCACATATTGGGTTACATTATCTATGTTTTCATATGGAACCATAACTTTTTTGAAAATACTCTATGGCCTATGTTCATCAGGGATAATGTAGGATTCTACATGTGAATTTTTCAAATCATTCCAGTGGTTTCAGATCCTATTCAATACAAACAAACAATCAAATCTTTCCTCTTTATAATATTAGTATAGATGATATGAAAAATATTTTACATTAAGTGAAATAATATTATCAGAAAGAACCATGAGCATTGGAAATAATAAGTTTGTTGATGAGCACAAAATAAAAAAAATCCAGTCACTTCTCAGGTCCATGGTTGAGTTGTATACTGAGTAGTTGTCAGTACTGATAAACAGTGTATATTAAGTTGTCATAAAACATATTCAGTCAAAATTTAAAAGCCTATAGTCGAGAGCCGGCTCTATAAAAGTCCTATGGATTAGATACATGAATTATTTTTGGGGTATGAACAATAAAGCCATAGATAGGTCCAGAGGTCGACACCACTGAAGTTGCTTGATTTTGCCCGCATTAAAAATTACGTCACTTCGGTTTTTATTTTAGGTGTAATTGTAATTTATCAAATACATCAAGAAATAGTATGTGAAACTAAAGTTTTTGATGAGTAGAATAGAAATGTCAAGGGGCGACAAGCTCTATTAATTACCACCATTAAAAAAATATATTTTTTAATTTATCTTAAGTCATCGAATACATGATTTTGTTTACGATTTTCTGAAACTAGAACCACTCAAATGACTGAAAAAAATTGGTCGACACCTTTTATTTGCCCGGATCTGACTGTCGACTTAGTTTGAAGAATTAAAGAGTCTATGCTTATATATTTCATCTCTCGACATCTAGACCTATGGCTTTATTGGTCATACCCCAAAAATGGTTCATGTATCTGATCCATAGGACTTTTATACAGCCGGCTCTCGGACTACTTTTAAACTACCCAATTTCACCTTATTTTATTTTTATTAAGGGTGGTGTAATAAAAAATAGAGAGTAAGGGAGCTGATCCAGTGCATTATGATCTCCCTTTCTCCCTGAAGATCAGGCAGTGAAATAGGTAAGGAGGCTAAGGCTCAGTTGTTGCCCTAAGAGGGTATAAGAATGGTTGTTTTTGTAGTCGACCAAGTTATTTAGTAGGATGGCATCTAATAAACAGAAAAAAGTGTTACTATACTTAATTAGGCTCTTTAAAGAGATGCCATTTTTGTGGCAAAAGGAAAACAAAAGACCATTTAAATAACGCACATATTGAAATAATCCTCAAAACATAGTAATGCATCCTCAAAAAATACAAATCGTAAAAAAACCTAACCATTAGGTTACTATATATAATAAGGTGAACTAAATGAATATTTTCTTTTAAATAAAGAGACATGCTGAAGTATTAAGAGTGCTACTAGAAGTTTGCATTTTTTTTATTAAAATGCATCAGGTGCCATTGCAATGACGTTCAACCAAGTCAATGTTTAAGTACCAACTGAGTTAGGGTCTGATTGACAGGGTGGCGTAATAAGTGCTACCCAGGCTAGAAGACACTCCCAGCCCTTTGATAGGGCCTTTAAAATTGGGTAATAAAATAGGCCTTTTAGCTCTTATGATTATGGTTTCTTTTTGATATTCATCCTTAAGTAAGTCCTAAATTTAACCATGCAACTGTACATTTTTAAATAAAAATATATATATGACTGCACAATGCCAGTTGGCTGAATACAGGTGTCAGTGCATATACAATATTTAATGCAAGAAGCAGGCTAAGTGGCCAAACAAGTGATATGTTAGAGGTTGAACCTACAGATTGTTGGAGATGGATGATTTATTAATAATATTTATTTTTATTAAAATAAATTAGAAGTACCTTGTTTTCCTGTTTGTTTAATTTGTATATTTAGATAAAGTGATTATTTTAATCTATATGGTTAAAGATTTCTATAGTTGTGTAGTTAGTAAAGAAAATGTAGTTCAAGTGTAAACCATCATATCGATACCTTTGGGTAGAAAGGTTGTATAAACCAAAACCAGACTTTTCAGGAAAGCAGAATATTTTTTTACATAAAAAATCATAACTTTTTTGTTTTTGAAGTTATAAAAAAATGAACTATGAGAATGGTTCTTACAATTTGCAATTGAAAAAAGTTAAATCATCAAATCCTATCTATCTTCTTTAGTTTAAAAGTTTGCTAGGATTTACATCTAAGAAAAAATAAATTCTTGGTTAATACACTCCATGAAAATGTACTTCAAAAACTGTATAGGTTGGTATATCCATTTTTGGTAAACTTTTAAGTAAAAAAACAAGACTATGTTAAATGATTGTGTGCTTTGTCACCTAAATTGATTTTTTGAAAATGTGTTTCTCAATTCATAATTTGTTTTAAAATAATTTATAATAATAATTAAAATAATTTATACTAACAATTCATAGATATTTTAAACTAATTATGAATACAAATTTATATCATAAATAAGTAACTTTTAGTACATAAGTTAGTTACATTTAGTGCTTGCTCTTTTTTTTTAATTAGTTGCAATTCAATAAATTACTTAGTAAGTAAGCCTTAGTCAAAGATGTGCTTAATTCAATAAATTTTTGAATTAAGCACATTTTAAGACCTAGGAAAATTCAAAAAGCAATCAAGTCATAATTTTATAAATGATTAAAATGCCTGGTATTATAATCTCTTATCTATTAGACGAGTCCGTCTGTCCGTGGTGCTGTTTCAGCGGCCAAACCATAAGAGATAGATAAAGAGAATATTTAAGTTATAAGTTAAGAATAGTCTGCTAAGACTACATACCGGATTTGAGTAACGTAGCACTTCCGGTTTTCGAGAAATCAGGTTTTGGTGAACATTTGGTTCACTGGTTTGCTAGTACTTAATAAATGTTGATTTCGTATTTCAGGTAGTTTTATTTTATTTGAATCAACCATTATTGGGTATTAGAATAATAACCAACCATTTACAATTAACGACTATTTTACACCCTGAGGTAATATAAATTATAGTCATTACATTATAACAAAACTACAAAAAAAAACATTTGGCTTTTACATTGAAAATTTACCTTTTTTAAGAGGCTATGACCAAGGCAATTTCTGTATTTCGTAAAATGGTATATATGTTACCAGCCAAACCCGATTTCAGGACAAACTAGTTTTGCCTAGGCTAAACTACTTCTTCCTATACGCGATAGGATTAACTAGTATAGCCTAGCCCAAACTAATTTGTCCTAAGCCCGAAGAACTAGTTTAGCCTAGGCAAAACTAGTTTGTCCTAAAATCGGGTTTGGCCGGTAACATATATAACTCAATTTGGCCAAAACGGTTTATACAAAATTTCTACCCAAAGGTATCAATATGGATTTGGTTTATGATATTTTTTTTGCTTGTTACATAAATCTAAAGAATTATTTGAATAGAAAAGAAAACCCTGCCAAAAAGAAACTTCAAGATTTTTTTTTTAAATTAAACATCTTCAAGGTTTATGATGTTAATATTCTTAATTAAAAAGTTCTCAAAAAAACAGGGGATATATATGTACTACTAGGAATGTTGTTACTACATATTTAGAAACATTGAAATTAAATATGATTTAGACAATGTTGAAATGATTAATTTCATTTATTTAAATACTCTTTTTTCTTTGCTATACTTAACAATTTTGTATCAAATTAAATTGTTTATTTAAGTAATAAAGATCCTAATCGATGAACAAATATATCACTTACCCTCAATAAAAAGGACAAAATATGTTTAACTACCATCCTTGCAGACCATTTTTATGAATTATATAATATTAGACACTATTTAAAATTTTAAATACTGAATGTATCAACAATGTATGCTAAAACATACTAACCTAATTTTGTATAAACATAGCTGCTCCTGTTGTATGATTATGACCAAAACAAATGTGGTCTCTAAATAGGGACTGCAGTTTTATGTAAAGAAATTACTGTAGCCATTGTAAAACATAAACAGATCACATGCAAGTGGCAATGAGATGTTACAGAAAGGATGAGTAATAAACGGTATGGGTACAGACCGTTCTTTCTCAGTGTCGACGCTGAAGTTGCGCTCGATGACCGTGGTCCACTGCAGGCCGCGGATGGTGAAGGTGTAGGGCCTCGGTTTGTCCACGGCCATGATCTGGCAGTCCCGCACAGTGAACTTGTTGAGTGGGTCGCGGTAGTTGTTCCGCTCGGGCTTCGTCTTGAACCCGACCAGGTCTCCATTATCGAACAAAATGAAGTAGCGGTCGCGCCAGTTGCGAATGTGCTCCCCGCGCTTCTGAAGCCAACCCTCCTTCACGATGTTCCCGGGCGGCGCCTCCGCCATCGCCCTCGCTGTTTGATAACAAACGATGAGCTAGCGCTGCCAGCCACACCACGTTGCGCACACTGGTACACAGGTGACTGTTTCACCTCGATTTTGTAACGACAAGCACGATTGTATCGAACATTTTCCCGTTGAACAAAGATTGATGCACTGTTTCGACTTATTTTAGTTTTCAGCAATAACATGAACCTGTGCGACGTATACTCAACGTAGCCTCGCGGTTATGATACCGTATAAAAAAGATGCATTGTCTAGTGAACAGACAGAAAAAGACAGATATAGCTTATTACATACTGTAAGAGAGCGAAAGCGACATTGTTGTAGAACTTCAAACCTGACCATGTAATTTATACGTATTATAACCTATTTTGACAAATTAGTACCTTATGTCTGCCGCCAGAGGCATGAATGGCGCTCTCTTGCAGCTTATTTTTTTTAAACACGTTCCATTTTTCCTAAAATCACTACCTACGCACAGATAAAAATTATTCAGTTTATGATGATATAAATATTTGTAACAGGAGCGCAATAAGCGTTATTGTTTCATTCAGATAACTACCTCTTCGTGATGATATTATTGATGATTGGCTTAGCTTAGTAATAATGAAATCCGCTGCTGGATACTAATCAACTTTAATTGGAATGACAAAGCATCAAAAATAGATCATAAACATCTCAACTCAACAACAAGGCTTACCTACTCAACTTAACAATAAATCTAACTTTTGTTTATAAGTATGGGTTTTTTTTTCTACACTGACATTGACTTGCATTCCAATTTAAAATTGGTACGTAAGTTTTGCTGACAAACCAGAAATTAATATCGTCATTGGTCCATGCAATCGCTGAATTAGGTAAATAAAAACCGGACAAGTGCGAGACGGACTCGCGCACGAAGGGTTCCGAACAACAATCCTCAAAAGGAAAAAACAGTTGTTTTTTTCATTATAACTTACAAAGTACCCAAAGATTCATAATGATGAATCGGCATTTTCAGAATTTGTTGTTTAAATACAGCAAGGGACATCATATACCAACATTTCACATTCCTAACTACCTAGTTTAGATTTTGAGATAGACGCCATAACAAAAATAGTCCAAAAATGTTAACTTTGGCGGCGGGGCGCCCCGTTTCTTTATGATTGAAAATAATAAAAATTGTATTTGATTCTATATTAGGTTTTTGCGCATACCACTCATTAAATAAAACAAGTTTCAACGGTATAGATGCACTGATTTATTTATTTATTGACGTTTCGAATCCATTGCACAGATGCGTCGTGTAAATTATGATTTTATTTACTTTGTCGAGCTACCTTCGAAAGACTTTTATTGAACGTTCGGATATTTCATTGGAAGATTTTTAAAACTTAATTGTCTATGTATGAATTTATTACCTATTTTAGTTTAATTAATAAAGTACTTTATTTAATTCTGTTTTATATTTTTTTATTTATTTATTTGACCCTGACTACCGTAAACTACCACCAATTCCAAAATTTCCACCTTTCTGAGAAGAACTGGTGAAACAAACTCATAAAGGCTTTCTATCTCCTTCTTATGTTACATCATGCAAATAAAAAGAAGTAGTACCTAGTATCTGATAGTCTTGCAGTGTGTGTTTGTGGTTGGGATTTTATCTTTTGTATAATGGGTTCCCAAGCTGGTGGTATATACCAACCATCTTCCCTATTGACATTTGGATATTTCTTAATTTTCACGTATTATTCTAGGAATGAATCGTTGTTCAGTGGTAAGGGTCTGTGGTTTATCAAATGCATGTCCAAACACTGCAGGCTTATTTTCGCGCCTATGTTTCATATCTGCAATATGTTCTTTTACCCGAGTCCCTTTACTCCTCATTGCTTGCCCGATGTAGGAGAGCCCACAGTCGCCTTCAAGTTTGTGGACACCAGCAACTTGAAAGGGTATATTGCACTTTACAGATCGTAGAAACCGGTTGATCTTCTTAGACGGCTTGAAATAAGTATTGATCAAAGCACCAATCTTGTCAGTCACCCCTTTCATATAAGGTAGTACAGCAGGTTGTCGATCGACTATGCTAGGTTTGGGGCGATTGTAACGGCGACATGGTAGATTCAGATTATTATCCTTCAGTACTCGCTCGACATGCTGAAGTTCAGCTGTCAGGTGTTGTTTGTCACAGACGCCCCGTGGTCTCTGAAATAAAGAGTTTCCTTCGGCAGTTAACTGTTTCGGGTGATGGTGTAAGTCACCATTGAGGTACCTATAAGTGTGTATTACTTTTACTTTTACCAAAGTTAGATTCCAGATTAATAAAATATCTAAGAAAGCTAGTTTACTATCTGCTTCTAACTCCATAGTTTCACAACTGGGCTTTGGCCCTAAAAGTGGTTGCGAAGTGGCAGTGCATGCTGCTCGAACTTTTTTGTCAGCCGATGCTGGTAGGGTTCTGCTGAAGATAGATGTTCAGAACGCTTTTAACTCAGTCGATAGAGGAATACTGCTGAGTGTAGTACAAACACATTACCTACCTTATTTGTTTGCCTTTATTTGGCAATATTACGGATCGCCATCTAATTTAGTTTACCGCGAAAGATTAATTATGTCCTCTGTGGGTTGTCAGCAGGGGAATCCAATTGGTCCTGCAATCTTTAGTCTGGCAATACATGGCTTCATTCGGAAATAGAGGTCCAAATTTAATGTTTGGTACTTAGACGATGGCACTCGAGCTGGTGACGCTGAAACAGTATTAGAGGATCTAAAATCATTGATTGATTCTATCTCGTCTATTGGCCTACAATTGAACTTTGGGAAGTGTGAATTGTACACACATGATACTGTAGGGACAAATGGAAGAGAGGATATTTTAACAAAATTTACTCAATTGGCTCCGGGTTTTAGGATTTTCCATAAGAAGTCTTTTCATTTGGTGGGAGCTCCTGTACTTGACGAATCCGTATTTTTGTTTGTGGAAGAACAAGTAACGAAATTTCAAGAAAAATCGTTTCGCCTTTTTCACATGGCTCTTTTTATTATAAAATTGTGCTTGTTTGTGCCCAAATTAATCTTCGTGTTTCCCAATTTTGGAAATACCCACACCTTATGCATAATTTAGATGAACTTATTAGAGTTACCCTAACTAGAATTTTGAATTGCTTCTTGCAGGGCTCGGCTTGGTAGCAGGCGGCACTGCCTGTGCGCTTTGGGGGCATTGGCGTAAGGACAGCAACGGATGTAGCTCTGCCGGCTTTTTTGTCTTCGGTTCATGGATCGGAATCTCTTTGCGATGGTATTCTAGGCCCTTCTCTGGGTTCCGTTGTGATTTTAGGACTTTCGGAGGCAAAGAGTAAGTGGCTGGCGCTGTGTTCTAGTGAGAGTCCAACCGTTTTCCAATCGCAGAGGCAATGGGATGAACCTATTTGTAAACGATAACTTGAAACAATTATGGATACCTGTGACAACACAGTGGATCGCGCTCGACTTTTGGCTGTGTCTGAAAAGGAATCAGGTTTTTGGTTGCATGCATACCCTTCTTCGACTATCGGTACGTGTTTGGATAATTGTACCCTGTCAATATCAATTGTACTTCATTTGGTGGTCACAACAAATGAACCACATCGTTGCCGCTGTGGAGAACGGGTAAATGAAAGGGGACATCGCGGCTTGTCCTGTCAGAGGTGTGCCGGGCGTATAGGTAGGCATGCGTCAATCAACGACATTATTCGAAGGGCTGTAGTTATTGTTGGTATACCTGCAGTTTTGGAGCCATCTGGGGTATTGCGTTCGGATGGCAGACGACCAGATGGTACCTATGTCACTTATGCCTTGGAGTATGAGAAAGTGTCTAGTTTGGGATGCACCATGCGTTGATACTTTGGCCCCATGTCACCTTGATGCGACCTCAGTTGAACCCTGTGCAGCTGCTATAACAGCTGAGTGTAATAAAAGGCGCAAGTACCGGGATGTGGGTGAGATATTTTATTTCCTGCCTTTTGCTGTAGAGACAATGAAGGGGTCCTTGGGAATCTGTTGCAGATTATTTCTTAAGGATATGACTGCTCGCCTGTGCGAGCCTACGGGGGACCCAAGATCTGGTAGCTTTTTTGCTCAACGGATTAGTTTGGCGATGCAGCGAGGCAATGCTGCCGGTCTTCTGGGGACCGTGTCCCGCACAAGCGAACTCAATGAAATATTTAATTTGTAATTATTGTTGTACCTTTTGTTGACATTAATAAATTAAAAAACTCTATAGTAAATTGGATGTTGGGGTGTGATCAAAAGTATCAATTACATCATCCTTATAATTTCCCATATTTAAAATAAATATTCTTTCGTCACGTCCGTCACGTCCTTCTGTCCGTCCCCGGTTTTGCTTGGAGACTATTAGCACTAGAGCGCTGTAATCTTGTGAAGATATGTATATTAATGACACCGACAAAATGGTAGGATAAAATATTTAAACCTAGAAAAAGGTTACGTTTTTATAAAAAGTATTTATGCACTTGAAAAGATAGGCGGTTATACCGCATCATCCCCTTCTCAGGGGATGATCGCTTCAGATGAAGCATTTAGTCAGTAAGAGCCTGACATAACCTTGCAGCCGACTGTAGGGTATCCATGAGGATTTCAAACCCGCTCCCCGCCTGGTAGGCAAAAACAATCGGCTGTTACCATTCGTATTTAATAAAAATAATAAAATCGAATTGAGTTTCTGACTCAGTTTGACGTTGATTTGGGTATTTTAGTTGAGATACATAGATTGATATTAATTGGTTTTTATAATTTTCGATAAAGAAATATAAAGATTTCTGCTCTAATTATATCGTGGCACGAGACGCACTTGGCCGGTTTTTTTACCGTAGTGGTATCAGGGCCGGATTTAGAGGTCCAGAGGCCTCGGGGCAACAGAGGAGCGGAGGCCCCCTCACCCCAAATTATTTTCCAAATAAAGTAAACATTTTTTTTTTCAGTCAAGTTTTTCAATAAATAATTAATTGTGAATAATCATGTATGTTAGATGTACAAAGTACTGTAGGCTGTAAGTAAAGGTAAAAGAGCAAAAAAAATATCAAAGGAAAAGATGTTTACTAGTTCGAATTTGATTTTTTTTTCCGAAGTCTATATTGTGGGGGCCCCCCGTTTGTGAAGGCCCCGGGGCTTTCGCCCCGGTTGCCCTCCCCTAAATCCGGCAGTGAGTGGTATAGAATATTAAAAATTAGTTTTGTATTGCACTGTGCAGGTGGTTCTTATCTTATGGATTTTTCTTCAGCTCGCTTATAGTTTTTTCAGGGGCGGGCGCTACGTTAGGTTGGGTACGTAGGGTATCAGTAATTCGCAGTACCTAGTCGAGTTAAAAATAAACCTACACAGCGTCATAGAAGCCAGCATCTCGAATGTAATCGAGCACACTCTATTTAAAGTCTGTTTTAAGCAGCGGTACTTGTCGTTTGACGGCACGAGCGCTCGAGCGGCTCGCTGCGGGTCGCGGGTGACGGAGTGCGGCCGGAGCGGAGCGGGGCGGAGTGCGGCTGCGTGAGCGACCGCGCACTGGCGGGCGCAGGTCGATACGGGCGGGTGGCGGCGCGGGGGCGGCGCGGGGGCGGACGCACGCAGGAAGGACGGCAGTGGCTGGCAGAAGGCCTCACGCGCGGCCCTCGCGACTTGACCGCTCCTCGCCGCGACCGTCCGTGTGTTGCGATGAAGGTATAGAGCCCCCTTGCCCGTAGCGCGGTAGTGGTATGACTTAGCTGTAAGTAGCGGCGCCGCCGGCCCGGTACGTGTCGTAGCTAGCCGCTGTTGTGTCTCTGCGCCGCCCGTCACGACGCCGCAGCCTCGCCGCCCATCGCATCTCACCCTTCACGCACGGAGCCATTTTCCCTCGAGTCATCTTTTCCGTTCATCAACTCACTGTGACCTCCGTGAATGCGAGACGATGCGATGCGAATGTTCATTTTTGTCATTTATTTCACAACCCCCTTCATTCACTCGATGACATGTTCCGTGGCTCGTATGCACGCATCATCACATTTCATAAGCATTATTTCGACAATTTCTACTGTTTGCTTTATTTTATTGTCTTAAATTGTGATTAAGCTTACGATATATACCTATGTCAATCAAATAAGAAGATAAGTGTAAAGCACCTACATTGACATCTGGAAATGTTTCTAAAATACGCGATCGATAATAACATAAATGCTCAGAGATGTACCATTTACATCTTCGTATCGACTTAATTGTACCCCAAAGCTATAAGGACGCTAGGGAATAGTGTGCCTGATTAAGTTAAAACAATAATAATGAATTATAAAAACACAGATGATCTATCTCTACCTAACTTAACGCTCCGTACTCCGTTGAAATCAAAAGAAAGGAGTTATGTAATGACAGAGATTTAACATTTTCTCATATACGCTTAACTTTGATCATATATTTTATAACAAATCTTTATATTGTTTCAGCAACACGGAGAACCTCTTGTAAGCTCATATAATGCTAAAGTTACCCAAGGGCCTTAAAAAGAAGAAAAAGGGTAAAAAGTCGAAACGCAAAGGTGAAGAAGAGCTTTTTACTGAAGAAGAATTAGAAAAATATAGAAGAGAACATCAACAGACACAATCTGAAGAAGGGTCCTCTAAAGAGAACGAAGAATGGTCCAAGTTTAAAGATTTAACGACTGGGGTTGACTCCGTTTTAAAGAAAACTCAGGGTGACTTAGACCGCATAAAGTCGACTTCATTTTTCCAGCGCATACCAGCAGGACCTAAGGAAGTCAAACCAGTAGAGAAAAAAGCCCCGCAGAGGCCCTTTGTTGAAGTCACTGAAGCAGATTTTCCTCAACTAAAGCAAGCTAGTGCTGAAGCTGACGACGGAGATAAAAGTGATTACGGCGTCACCGACGACGAATCTGAGGAGGACGACCAAGACGACATCTTTGACACTTCATACGTAGATGCGGTTGAAAGAGGGGAAGTGAAGTTAGCGTATGTCCCAGATTCACCAGAAGATTTACAAGATGACGATATCTTTGACACTTCACACGTTGATGCATTAATAAAAGGACAAGAAACAAAGAGTGTCAAGGGTAAAAAAGTATTAGATATCGGTGTCGCAGTTGAGGTTTTGACTGGAAGAATCGATAATGTAACAATCACTACAAAGAGACCGAAAAGAGTTATACCAGGTGACCTACTGTTTGAAGATAAGGAACAGGCTGCAGTTGCAAAGGTTGTGTGTAGTGAACAATTGGAAAAAAGTATTTTAGATACTGATGCGGATATACCGTTAACGAGTCCTATAGATTTGAGTGTTTCACTTCACACTTCATTGATAAATCAAAATAAATCGAATTTTCAAGAAGATCAAAATAGCTCAAAACTAGATTTCTCGAAGAATGATAAAAAAGATGAAGAAGATGAATTTGACGAATTCACACAATTAGCTACAGAATCACTGGAAAGTGGCCAAGAAGTTCTTAAATTACAAGAAAACGAAATCAAGCTTGAACCAGTTCTACAAGAATCATGGTCTGCTTTTGAAGCTGATAAAAACCAATCCGTATTTGCTGAATGCATTGTAGAGGACCAGATTGATGTAATTGATCCTTATTTAGATCAGGACGACCCATTTGATACAAGTTTCGCCGATGCTGTGATTCCTTCAACTCAGGTGGAACCTAAAAAGGAAGCAATCATCCTTGAAGAGGACGACGACTTTGACCCACGAGCGGAGGAATTTAGAGGGCGATTCAACAACAGAAGAAAATCTTCTGTACGGATTCATCTGACAGATCCTTCCGGATTGAGAGAATCCATTACATCGGATGATGTTATCGAAAATACCAAAGAAGATAATCAGAAATCACGTGATTTATTAGGAGGCAGTACTACTGATTTAACACAGCTTGGGGATTCACCACTAAACCCAGTTGATATAAATAACGTTGATGATATTGATCCATTTGATACTACAATAGTTGATAAAATTGTAGCACCTGGGAAAGTTGAATTAAAACTTCTAGAGCAAGAATTAATCGGAAATTCGACACCAATATATCGAGTACCCAGTGATCCTGATTTTGACCCTCGTGCTGACGAACCGCTAAAGGTTGAAAGGCGTGCCTCTAGGCCAGAAAATCTTGTTGTCAGCAAGAGTGTAGTGTTTAATGTTGATTCAGAAGATACGATCACATTAGATCCCAAAATAAAATCTACTAAACCTTTGACGCCATATTACACGCGCAATATTTCAATCACAGAAGAAATCAACGAGGAAGCTGAAGCCAACGACGTTGTGCCTGATACTCTTACTCGCACGCGTTCTGATGAGGAATTAACACCAAAACCAAATTACCAAAATAAAAGAAGGCATTCAGAAAATCCTCAGACTAATTTTACTAAGGCTAATTTAAAATCTACTGATCTTTTGCAAAGTGGACAAAACGATATTCCAGTCAAAATATTGACACCATCAGAGCCACAGCAAACTACTAATATTATCGAAAGTGATCCATTCGATACTTCTTTTGCAAGTAACATAGAACCAAGTAGAACCGAACTAAAATTATTGGCAAAAGAATTTTCCTGTGAAGAATCTCAGTTTGAGACTGATAAGAAGCCAGATTTACTAGATCCTTCTGACGATATATTTCAAGTGAAAGCACTTACTCCAGAACCTTCTGACGCTGCAAAATTACCCGAAGGAGATTTTGATCCCTTTGACACTTCGTTTGCTAGTGATCTTAATCCTGGACGAACTGAACTGAAACTATTGGAGTCGGAATTTTTGAATTAATATTTAAGTGATCACTGGAAAAATGGCTTTCAATCCTTTCTTGAGTATGAACGAACCGGCAGCACCTGTTGCTGCCGACGTACTCAACCCTTTTATGATGTCTGATCCTGAACCTGATACCTTTACGGGAGATAATCCATTTGCGACTAGCAATCCATTTTCTGATTTTGGTGGAGGGTATGAACCACCCGCTGGCGACACCGTACCCGTCGATATTTTTGGTACTGTTGATCCTCCGGGAATAGGTGCAAAGCAATACGAAGAATTCACTACACAATCAACAGCTACCTTTGATATTTTCGGATCACAGTCTACACCCGCGGAAGGCGAACGCCTAGTCAAACCTACAGAATTGGATTTAATCACAACAACGACGGAGGACAGTTATGTAAATGACAGCGATGCACAGGGACTACAGCAACCGTCCAGACCTCTTCCGCCTGAAACGCAAAATTTGATATTAAGCGTCACGGGCCAGATGGAATTTACGAGTTCACACTTGTTGGACCGCATTCCTCCAACGCGGACTCCGAGTCCAGTTTCAGTCAGAGACATACATTCGTCATGTCCTACGCCTGAACCAGAGGCACTAGAAGAGCCAGCGGTTGTAGACACGTTTGATATAAATTGCAACAAACCAGCGCGGCCACCACCCGCCCGCCCCCCGCCCGTGGCCCGTCCGCCGCCGCCCCGCCCCGCGCCGCCACCCGTGCCTCCTGCTCCGCGGCCAGCACCTCCTGTTCAACAACAACCACAAGATGACATCAACTTATTTGATGCGCCCGCACCTTCTGCAGTAAAACCGACGAAAGAAGCCATTCTAAGTTTGTATTCGGCACCAAAAAAAGAAGAAAAGCAAGTAGATTTTTTGAGTGACGACTTCTTAGCCGATATTCCACCAGCTGAAAACTCTACCGAAGTACAGTCACAAGTGCTTACAAGTAGCCCACAGATTACTAGTGAAACTATTGTACCGTCTACAACGGCAAATGTTTTCGACACCATTTCAGAAGACTCACCTACAAAAGCTGGTAACCCAATGATGGACATAACTTCACCCATGGATTGTTCAGAACCTCCATTCGATACAAACGGTGCAGTAAATAGTTCTTCTCCGTTTGCAGATGTGGCAAGCGATGATTCTACACAACATGTGAATGGTAGCGAAAAAAATCCTTTCGAGGATATTGCAGTTACCGACACCACAAGTGGCTTTATGGACACCAGCAGTAACATATTTGGTATAAGTTATGCTGAAACTGCAATTGCTAGTTCAGACACTACGGTGACAGCACCAACAGATATTTTTTCAACGGAGCCTGTGGAAGGTGTAATGACACCAGCAGAAGCTTTCAAGTCCTCGCCGGCTGATGAATTTCATCAAACTCAGCCAATGCAGACCACTGATGTATTCGCGACTTCACAGCTTGACACTGAAGTCGATACGGGTTGGGGTGAACCTGCAACAGACGCGACGATGCATGATGCTTTTCCAGAATCACAAGACGCATTCGATGCTTTTTCTGCTAAATTCGATTCTACGTCAGCTAACCATTTAAACACAGGTAAAGTATCCATTTTATATTGTGGTGATTTGTATTTTGCCTTGATGATTTGTCTTCGTTCATGATGAGTCTATTTTATGTTGTCAGGAGCGTGGGGTGAAGAAGGCAGCGTGGCGGCAACTGTCGACGGATTTGAGGCAGAGGCATTTGATCCGTTCCTGAGTATGGGGGCACCGCCACCGCCCGCAGCCACACCACGCCTGGACCACCAGGGTTCCAAGGATTCCGCTGACGACTCATTTTCCGTTTTCATAAGGTGAGGTATTCAAATAAGTGCTGAGCTCGACTCGGGTCCCGACTTTTTTAAGTATTAATATTGTGGAAAATATATAAGTATCAATTCGTAACTGAAAATTGTTCATATATTCCTTAGAAACTTGAATTCTCTGCAGCTTTAAAGTGAAAGAACACAGACAGAACATCAGCATTTTTCACTTCAGTATCTTTATGCTTAACATTTTCGTTTCAGGCCAAAAGAGAATGATAGCAGCGGCGTGGAAGCCGCTGTGCCCGCTCTGGCGCCCCCGCCGCGGCCGCAGGCGCTGCCCGAGTCGCCACGTGCCAACCCCTTCGACAAGAGCGGCTTCGAACAACCCTCGCAGCAAAATTATCAAGGTTACTCGCATTTCCAACCACTAGAAAAAAATATAGAGGAAAATAAGAAAGTGCAGTTTCTTCTTTTTTTAAAATTTCTTTCTATTCTATTCAAATTGACATTAAGAAACAAGACGTTCTCTTTAAAACTTACATTAAGTTGTTTCCCAAACGATTAGCTAAAGCAGTGATTTATGTAGAAGTGAATGCAAAAGACACTATGAATAAAGCTTTTCATTTATTACAATGTATATAGATTGAAAACAAAAAAATAACTTAAATCTGTGCTACTGCTGCACAGCCGCACCATTAATATCACACGTCACACGTCACCGTCTATACGTGTTAGTTAGGTGTTTACAAACATAGTTAATAATTTTATTTACTAACAACAATGTTTTATATCTGTATATATGTTAGACTATAAGATATTTATCTATGGGCCTATGTAGCCTGATTATAAATAAATAAATAAATAAAATATTAGTTTAAAATAAACAATTTAATTGTGTGCTGTGCACCTTTTATTTACGATCCCAAGCTAGATTCGTTGAATATAACCTATCTGGAAGCGGATGTAAACAATAATTGCATTTGCAGAGGAGTCGCGGCGACACAGCGGCAGCGGCGCCGAGACCCCGCCCACGCCGTTGTTCGACGACGATGTGTCCATGCCACTGGAGGACTTCCCGCGAACCATATACAAGGGGCCCGGCTGGGAGATGCAACTCCGGCAGCCCAACAAGAAGAAAATCACTGGCCAGAGGTACGATAAACGAAAAATATTTTGGTGCCAGAGGCAATTGACACTTAGGGTTTTCTTCTTTATTTGATTTCTTCTTTGTTCAATTTTATGATCACGACATAATCTATAACAGAAGTTATAAAAACCGACAAACCTATATTAGCACATGAAAATAGTTATGATTAGAAAAGAAGCCAAAAACATGTGTGTCAAGACTGAAATGTGGCGTTCGTTTCTCTCTATGCTTTTCAAGCATCTTTCAAAGAATAGTCCAAACATAAAAGACTCGAAACATCCTTTATCAATTATTTACTGTTATAAGATAACACTGATTAGCCTGGTCTGCGACTAGGTTCTGGAAGGCGGTGTTCGTGAAGCTGGCGTACCAGGGCGACAACCCCGTGGTGCAGCTGTTCAACTCGGCGACGGACAAGGAGCCCTTCCAGGAGCTGCCGCTGCAGGCGTGCTACTCCGTGTCGGAGATCGGCGCACAGCAGTACGACCAGTACGGCAAGATATTCACCGTCAAACTGCAGTACGTCTTCTACAAGGAACGTCCTGGTGTCAGGTATATAAATAACGGTATTTAGAATAAAATCAAGATTAACTAAGCGGGTGCTTCTATTAATATCAGCTCTCTATGAGTTTAGCATTATTGCACCAATAATTCGTCGCTCCCACTGCGCAATATCATAGAAATGGGTTAATTTAGATAAGACTACGATGGGGCTGGCATAATATTCTTGTAAGAATAAAAGCCCCTAAATAAATAAAGATTACATTAAAGCTGTGTATGAAAGAATATCCGCAGTTTTATAGCGAAAATTAGAGTTTCATGCAAATATGGAGATAAAACTTTTAAAGAAATACCAAATAAGAATTTCTAAGAAGGATAAAACAACTACTTTTACCCTTTAGCGTCCAGAGATGGTTTTTGTTGAGATAATTATGATCTAAGATGATAAAAAAATATATGAAAAAAAAATAGTATTACTATGTTTAAAAAACATATGTTGAATATACTCAACATTACCCAACTCTAAAGAATGATCATGTAAATAGAAACGTTGGGTATATTTAACATTGCCCGTGCATATTTATTAAAATGCGACAATTAAATTTAATAAGACCTTCATTTGTCATCAGGGCATTTGAAAAAACATTTTAATTGACTGACTAAGTATAGTTTCATTGACTACTTAATGCAAATGATATTTGTGTTTTATTTACAAAATTTGCATCTACAATGTGATACGAGTGCTGGAAATGGCCCAGTGCTGTCGTACCATATGGAATCAAAAAGTATATATGTGGTCCGGGTTTGAATCGTTTTAATGTTAATGCCAAGTTGTTTCTTCTATCGTTATTATTTATTGGTAATCCAACTTTTATCAGTCTCTAAATATCTTAACTAAACAAAATCCCCGCCGCGCCTGCGTCTGTTCGTGATTATTCCAAAAACTACTGAACATATTTAAATGCGGTATTTATCATCAGTTAAATGATTTTATAAGAAAGATTTAAATGTATAGTACAAGCCCTGCAACAAAAACTATAGTTGTCATCGAAGCGAAATGGGGGCAGGTCTCTAGTCATTACAATGTATAAAACGATGTCACTCCCGCTGTCAGTACCGGTGCTTAGATCTTTTAAACTGCAGAGCAGATTTTAATGCAGTTTTCAGAAATGGATAGAGTGATTCAAGAGGAAGGTTCACATGTATAATATATGCTTGAGAACAAAAACTTTATTCTTTACCGAAGCAAAGCGAGGACCGGTCACTCGTTCTGTATAAAGATGGATTAGGAAATGATTGAGTGGCATACATCCATGTATCTGTTTCTGATTCCTTGTGTATAATAGACATGCATTATTTATACATAATTATGACTAAAGTCTGCAAAAATAAAGCTTCATATTTCATACTTATTTTTTAGAATGCACGTCGCATAATATGGGAGGAAATCATATGGGAGGTACTCTGAAATAATTGTTCTGTTTCTTCTGTTTTGTGGGTGGTAAGTGCCGGTGGCTTCGTATTCAAGCAGCATAGGTAATCCAACAAGATTTTGAGTATTTGTAGACCTTGTCGTTGTCAAGAATATCCATTGGTCAAAAGATGAATCAATTTACTTTGGTTCGGATTTTTTGTTTCAAAATATAGGGCAAAGCACATTTGGCGATTTTGTACCTTCACTTTCATCTTCTAAATACTGCTGTCATCTGATGTAGCACGGGCTAATGGTTTCAATGCCAAAATGTGCCTGGTACTCTTCCATTAAAGCAATCGCAAAAGAAACAACCAAAAGCAAATATCCGTGTGGCTCTTCCAGACTCTGATAATTATATGAACAATTTTCATGCCTATGTCCTAAATCTAGGGCTCTTTAACCAAAAGGACACAATAATACCTACAGCGAACACAATAGAACCAAACATTGCTTATAGACAATTTGTTCACAATCAAATAAGAAGCTTAAGTCATAACTCATAAAACAACAAATTGATTATTGTGATAATGAACTTTAGTTATTATCTGCAGGAGAAGCTGAAATATTTTAGATATATTAATTATTAGGTAGCTTTATGGCAACATTTCCATTCAAAATTTGCTTATAAAAACATAATATTAAAATTGTATATGTTGTGTAACGTTGGCTATTCAACTCAACATAGAAAAGTGTACGTGCTTTATTCACTGTCGCGCAACGTTAAGAATGTTCAACGTTCACTTTTCGGCAAATAAATCTTGTCACTAAAGAGTAATTAATGACCAATTATTAGCGTAAAATAAAAGATGGGTGTATTTAAAATTAACCCCAAACAATTATATTTGTAAGTGTAATAATTACTCCAACAATGGAGAAAACCAGACAGTAGAGAGTAGGTAGTATCTTAAGTCGACACTATTTTGTCACTTAGTGTCAAAATGTAATCTATTGCATCAATATAATTTTGTTTAAATACATAAATAGCATACATAGATAAATGATTCACTCGTGAATGATTGGTCTCGCTTCACGAGTGAATCATTTATCTATGATAGCAGATTTATTTTTCCAGAAAAAAACCATATATCAGATGTTGAGTATATTCAACGATGCGAATTAAAGCATTCAAAAACCTAATGATTTTTACTACATTGTAAAAGCAATCTTGGGTTTCGTTACGCGCAGGCCTGGACAAGTGACGAAGGCTGAACGCATCACCAACAAGCTGTCCCAGTTCGCGGCGTATGCCATCCAGGGCGACTACCAGGGCGTCAAGGAGTTCGGCAGCGACCTGCGCAAGCTGGGCCTGCCCGTCGAACATGCTCCACAGGTAAGCAACTACGTGTCGATAAGGATTTTTAGTCTTGCTGTTTTTATATTATAGCAAAAACAGCCCTTGCTGTGTTCCTTGTCGGTTCTTCGTAGTACAATGTCTCTCGCTGTAGATTTACGAATCTATGGCGTAGATTCTACACATTTATGCAACAGTAACACACAGTCTAAACTTAACGAATACTTTTGAATTTCATATAAGTATGCAATAATCGTCCGCCTCGTTTCCTCATTACTGAGGGTCATGATTCCCTCACGGAAACATTAGTTTATTGACGAATCGATATTACGCTACCCCATGGTAAGCAGAGTGAGGTGCGTCGCGCGTCGTAGAGTTAGTCGTCGGTGTCTAGTGTAATGCGTAACCAATTAGACCATATTATTGGGCTACGATTTGTAGTCTTCCTTCCCAGTATGACTTACCAGGAGGAGGAGCTCGATGGCGCAGGTGGCTAGCGCGTTCGGCTGCGATCGTTGAAGTTAAGCAACTTTCGCAGTGGTCGGTCATTGGATGGGTGACCAAAAAAATTTACTATCTCGAGCTCCTCCGTGCTTCGGAAGGCGCGTTAAGCCGTTGGTCCCGGCTGCATTTGCAGTCGTTAGCACCCACCAATCCGCACTGGGCCCTCGTGGTGGGTCATGGCCCAATCTCCCTATTCCATCCATAGGGAAGGCCTGTGCCCCAGCAGTGGGGACATTAATAGGCTGATGATGATGATGATGATGACTTACCAGTAGATCGAGGTTATATGGCCAGTTGGTTGGCGTTATAGTTATTTTAAAGCGAGGCGCATCAAATTACCCCACTCCACTTGATTTTAAGTGTAAATACAGTTCAGTCGCGAAGATAGATCATGAGTCAGAAGATATGTCGCTCCAGCCATACTCGCCTTTCCGGCCTGAACTCAATCCTCTAGCCCTGTGGAGCCCTGGAACTCATCCGCAGTAACATAAAACCACCAAAAGGACTACCTTTGTTATTTTAGTGTTATTTTACCGCGGTCTTCTGTAAAGTGGAGGTTGCTACCCCAGGCGGGCGCTCCAATTCGATCGGAGAAACCGCTGTACCTCTCTTAAAATTATTAATAGTGCTCGTATAATAAGTGTAATCAGCTCTTACATAAGATATTTATTATTTGTAAGAGAATGTATCACCTTATGTATGGCCCAATCTCCCTATTCCATCCATAGGGAAGGCCTGTGCCCCAGCAGTGGGGACATTAATAAATAATAATATAATAAATATTTCCAACACTCACACCAATTAGCCTAGCCCCAAAGTGAGCACTATAAGGCTTGTGTTATGGGATGCTAGGGTAACGGATAGAACACATATATTGTACATATATAAGTATATTTTATATAGAAATACATATTAAACATCCATGACTGGAGTACAAATGCTCGTATTCATCACACAAACATCTGCCCCCACCGGGATTCGAACCCGGGACCTCTCGAGTCGGCGACACCATGAAACCCGGCGTACAAACCACTCGGCCACGGAGGTCGTCACATTAATAGGATGATGATGATGATGTATCACCTTGTGTTGTTCTGGCAGGTGTCGCAGCTGTTTAAGCTGGGCTCGCTGACGTACGAGGACGTGAAGCAGTTCTCGTGCTGCGTGGAGGAGGCGCTGTTCCGCCTGCCCGCGCACCGCGACCGCGCGCTCACCTACAAGATGGAAGAGGTAACACACATTACTGGTGGCCAATTAAAAAACGTTGGCTAAAGTTAAACCGGGACTAAAACCGATGCTGTCACTTTAGTCCGCGTTTTGGAATAAGGTGGAATACTTAAAGCATCTCCTAAGTAGGTAGATATTCCTCTTAGCTGAGTGATCGCATGATGAGGAGCTCGATGGCGCAACTGGTTAGCGCGTTCGGCTGCGATCGTTGAAGTTAAGCAACTTTTCCAGTGGTCGTTTATTGGATGGGTGACCAAAATTTACTATCTCGAGCTCCTCCGTGCTTCGGAAGGCACGTTAAGCCGTTGGTCCCGGTTGCATCTGCAGTCGTTAGCACCCACCAATCCGCACTGGGCCCGCGTGGTGGGTCATGGCCCAATCTCCCTATTCCAAAGGGAAGGCCTGTGCCCCAGCAGTGGGGACATTAATAGGCTGATGATGATGATGAGTGATCGCAGGGCTGTGGTACGGCTATGTGCGATGTACACAGGCGTCAAGGCTATAAAAGCAGCATCAATTTATTATAGAAAATATTTTTCGTTTTACAGCAACATTTAACCTTCAGGTAAAAAAGGGACACTTCGGAGATTTCGCAAGCAGGCCGCCGCTACCGGGAGCCAACAAGCTTGCCTGAGTGATCGCTTAATGTTGTCCCTAACAACTAACCCTAAATTAGTTTTCATTATACATACTAGGGAACGCCGTTTTGTTTTTGTATTGTACATTTAATTATATTTGCCTCTTTCACTACCTAGAATGCTGTATGTTCGTTGCAGTAAAAATTTAAATTATTGGAGTCGTTATTGTCTTATGAATGTGTATTGTTGTGTGATGGCAGGTTCAGATCACGGCCGTGGATGAGCTGTACGTAGAGCAGGACGCGGAGGGCTGCGTGTTAAAGCAGATCGCGCGAGTGCGTCTTTTCTTCCTGGGCTTCCTTAGTGGTAAGCAGTCGTCGAGCTGTATGAAACTATATCTGCTATATCTCACGGTAGATGAGCTGTACGAAGAGTAAGACGCGGAGGGCTGCGTGTTACAGCAGATAGCGCGAGTGCGTCTCTTCTTCCTGGGCTTCCTTAGCGGCAGTGGTCGAGCTGTATTACATTATATCTGCTGTATCTCGTGGTGGATGAGCTGTATGTTAGGCAGCATGAGCTGCGAGCTGAAGCATGCGGTTTATCTTTCTATAATTCTAGTCCTTCTTAGAACAATATCTCCCACTGTGGTTTTAAGAAAACATGGTTAGCTTATATATATACCTATATATATAGCTTTTCATTTTAAGCATTGTTTATTGTAGAACAGTCTAGCATGGTTCCCTCGGGATCCATTTAAATGATTTAACACAGATCCGCAGCTATTCAGCTGAACTATAAATTATAGTGTTGTAATTACTTTTACTAATTTATTATGTAAAGTACCGAAATCATTTATTTTCGATGTAAGACTTGTATTGAAATATTCTTTGATATGACTGAAAAATCTTTAAGTAAGTGTAGTTTTGACTGAGAAGAGAATAGGTATTAAGTTATTTATGTGTGTGGCGGGGTGCAGGCATGCCGGACGTGGAGCTGGGCGTGAACGACCTGCGGCGGCAGGGGCGCGAGGTGGTGGGCCGGCACGACATCATCCCCGTCGCCACCGAGGAGTGGATCCGGGTCGAGGACGTCGCCTTCCACGCCTGCGTGCAGCCCGACGACTTCCACAGCACGCAGATAATCAAGTCACTACCAAACACTATATTACACTTATCACTCAGATCATCAAGTCTGTACCAAACACTACACTACACTTATCACGCAGATCATCAAGTCTGTACCAAACACTACAATACACTTATCACGCAGATCATCAAGTCTGTACCAAACACTACACTACACTTATCACGCAGACCATCAAATGGGTACCAAACACTACACTACTCTTATCACGTAGATCATCAAGCCGTGATCATACACTACACTTAACACTCAGATCATCAACCCAGTACCCTACACTTTACTTATCAAGCAGATTATCAAGTCATTATCCTACACTGCACTATCATGCAGATCATCAAATCAGTCAGTACCTTACACTTCACTTCTTAAAGTTTCAACAAAAAACTGCTAATGACTAGAATTGTGTGGCTTTTTCTTGCTATGTGGAGGAGTTCGAAAGCTCAAGTGGTTAGGGCCTTCGGTCTCCATTCGTGGAAGTTAAGCAACCTTCACAAATGGCGATCTGGGATGGGTGGGCACATTAAGCCGTTGGTTTCGGCTGCAGCTGCTGTCACCAATCCGTACTGAACCTCATTGCTAACTTATCTCGATCTTATCATGATCCATCTATATCGAAGCAGTGAGAGATAGGCTGATAATGATAATAAATCGTAAATGAAATTATCTCTAACTACGCGTACTACTCTTCTTTTCACATAACGTAACAACATGAGTTGTTTACAAGGGATTGAAGAAAGTACTTCTTCATTTTTGCCAGCCTACCAGGCAACGTTACAGCACCAGCTATTTTAGCAAGATATTACACATATCATAATCAGCCTATTAATGTCCCCACTGCTGGGGCACAGGCTTTCCTTAAAAATAGGAATAGGGAGATTGGGTCATGACCCCCCACGCAGGCTCAGTGCGGATTGGTAGGTGTTAACGACTGCAGATGCAGCTGGAACCAACGGCTTAACGTGCCTTCCGAAGCACGGAGGGAAGCGATATGAAAATTTTTGGTCACCCATTCAATGACCGACCATTGCGTAAGTTGCTTAACTTCAACGATCGCAGCCGAACGCGCTAACCACTTGTGCCATCGAGCTCCTCAACATAACACCCAGTAATGATTTCCTTCTAAAAGAAAGATATATTTGGGCATTTTAAAATATAACACATGTTTATTGATCGCTGTAGTTATAGAATGTGTTCGCCCGTCGGCAGGTTCAAGCCCCCGGACGCGTGCTATATCGAGCTGATGCGATTCCGCGTGCGCCCGCCCAAGAACCGCGAGCTGCCGCTACAGCTGAAAGCCGTGTGGTGCGTCACCGGGAACAAGGTACCACACTATTCTTGTTACTGTTTTATAGATAGGTAGGCTCCACCTGATGTTAAGTGGTGGTAAAGCCCAGACACGAAGGTAGCTGGTACAGCACTTAATAACTGCCACACCAACCATTGTCACCTTGCAAGCCTGCATAAATGCTTCTTCACGCCTCTTATAAAGGACTCCAGATTGTAGGAAGGAAGGGACTGCATTTATAAATTAGCACTAAGTGATACTTTTTGGCTGGTGTCAGGTGGAACTGCGCACAGACGTGCTGGTGCCAGGCTAACATTACCATATTCTCTTGTGTGGTTCCGTCAGAATGTTCCGGTTGGATCATAACGGTCGGTAATGGATGCTGGCTAGTGAAGCTACGTGCTGGTGCCAGGGTTACGTTACCATATTCTCATTGTCTAATTCCGTCCGCATAATTATGATGCCTGTATGATGATGGTCAGAAGTTAGTAATGTTATGGCTGGCATCAGGTGGATTTGTTTTATGACCAGAATAAATCTCTTGTGTGATTTCATCCGAATGTTCCGGTTGGATCATAACGGTCGGTGGGTGATGGCAGGTGGAGCTCCGCGCGGACGTGCTGGTGCCGGGGTTCGCGTCGCGTAAGCTGGGGCAGGTGCCGTGCGAGGACGTCGCCATCCGATTCCCCATCCCCGAGTGCTGGATCTACCTGTTCCGCGTCGAGAAGCACTTCCGATACGGATCCGTCAAGTCCGCGCACAGGTACACCACTACACGACTACATACTTATATTTGACTAGCGGCCCGCCCTCGCTTCGCTTCGGTGTAGAGCTGAAATGTAGACTACAGTTTTTGTTCTCAGGCTTGTATTATACACAATGACATTCATCTATGATTCTTCTTATACCTGCATGCAAAGTCTCAGCCCGATCGGTTTAAAATTGACAAAGTTTCAAAGTATCATACAAACTTTCATTCCCTATTTTATCCCCTTGGGGGTAGAATTGATCAAAATCCTTTCTTAGCGGATGCCTACGTCATAACATCTACCTGCATGCCAAATTTCAGCCCGATCCATCCAGTGGTTTGAGCTGTGCGTGGATAGATCTCTATGTCAGTCAGTTACCTTTGAGTTTTATATATATATAGATTTAGAGTAGGGAAAAGTCTAAAGAAATAAGGCAAGGTTTTCTATTATAAGCAATGAAAATTAAACATTACTAAGGGTGCCGTACGTACAATCAAACAGACTGTAACACTTAAAATACGAAAAATGTAAAAATTACATTAAATTCACGTTATGATTATAATGTGCCGCAGACGTACCGGCAAGATCAAGGGCATCGAGCGGTTCCTGGGCGCCGTGGACACGCTGCAGGAGTCGCTCATCGAGGTGACGTCCGGACAGGCCAAGTACGAGCACCAGCACCGCGCCATCGTATGGCGCATGCCTCGGCTGCCCAAGGAGGGGCAAGGTATGTATGTCTACAGGATTCGACCTGACTCAAATATCTTGACAGGAACAGAGTGCTAAAGTTCTGCCGCATACAAAGACAGGCATAGTGAATATAATAATAATAATAATATATCTTTATTCAAATAAGGTCATACATTGCATAGTGAATGGATTGATTCCACTCGCATGAAATTGACAGTTCTCTAGAAAAAGAAAGCGAGGGTGCTGCCAATACAAATACTTCTTTTCTCTCACACTCATGTACCCACTTTTATTTTAGAGTCTCTTTTAAATTTTGCATAAGTCCGATCCGATGACTACAGTCCTACACAGATTAACTAGAAGGTTTATCTATTTCTGCTCCGTTCTAAAAAATAACTATTAAGAACTGTAAAATAAAATAAAAAAAATAGTAAATTAATCAGAACACAGGTGACAGCTATCACCTGTGTTCTGTGGGGCTTATTCATAGGCACACATAATGGACTGAGCATCACTCGTATGAAATTGACAACTCTCTAGAAAAGAGAAAGTGATGGCGCGGTCAATACCTTTAACTATTGGGTGTCATTCGCTTCGTTACTCTCATACGTTAGTTTAACAGTCCATCCTCTAGGTGTGTTCGATTTTGGCTCGTTTACTCTCCTGACATTGTGAGTTGTTCCCAGGCGCGTACACGACCCACAACCTGGTGTGCCGCATGGCGCTGACGTCATACGATCAAGTGCCGGCCGCGCTGGCGCAGTGGGCGCTCGTGGAGTTCACCATGCCCGCCACGCAGGTGTCCCACACCACCGTGCGGTCCGTGTCGCTGCAGAACCACGACGCGGACCCGCCCGAGAAGTACGTGCGCTACCTGGCCCGCCACGAGTACAGGTGAGTGTCCGCCGTCACCATCACCGTCACCAGGGGCCGGTGACGTCACACCCAGGTGTCCCACACCACCGTGCGGTCCGTGTCGCTGCAGAACCACGACGCGGACCCGCCCGAGAAGTACGTGCGCTACCTGGCCCGCCACGAGTACAGGTGAGTGTCCGCCGTCACCATCACCGTCACCAGGGGCCGGTGACGTCACACCCAGGTGTCCCACACCACCGTGCGGTCCGTGTCGCTGCAGAACCACGACGCGGACCCGCCCGAGAAGTACGTGCGCTACCTGGCCCGCCACGAGTACAGGTGAGTGTCCGCCGTCACCATCACCGTCACCAGGGGCCGGTGACGTCACACCCAGGTGTCCCACACCACCGTGCGGTCCGTGTCGCTGCAGAACCACGACGCGGACCCGCCCGAGAAGTACGTGCGCTACCTGGCCCGCCACGAGTACAGGTGAGTGTCCGCCGTCACCAGAAAGCAGAGGCCGAAGCACGAATATTGACAGCTACATAATCGCATAAACCGTATGGATTTAAAGATGACGATACGATTACGGAGCTATTAAAATTTATCTCTGGTCACTTTTTTGTACGCGAACATACATGTTGGAGAGAGACAGAGTCGCCACAACCATTTTATATTCATTTATAATTGTCGTTTTTTACCTATTCTATTTTTTACATCCAATGTCACGTACGTGTCATTTGCTGTTGTCTTGTATGTTCGCTCTTGCTGGGTATATATTTTTATTATATTGTGTAGTGTTTCGTTCAATAAGCGTCTCATCACAGTCCACGTTTTCCTTAGTTATCACTACACATTTTTCATTGTTGGAAGTCATACCCCTATAAATAACATAACAATAACAGTGGATAGTATTCTAAACAATAAAAAAGTCACAACATTATTAAAAACAAAAATAGTTTAGTTTAACATACAAAAGACATCAAAAATTACATTATTAACTAAAATCAAAAATTGTTTTTGTTTACAAATTCAAACAAAAGACATCAACGCGTTAAGATTTTCTTTAGATGTTCAGTCAAACGAAATTCTTTCTCTAATTGTTCCATTAATATCGTAACAACTTGGTCTTGGGAGTTTATATAATTCATTTGTCTCTTTTGGTGTTTGTCCATGGGAGCTCTCACTACCTGATGTTTGCTTGCGGAAGAGGAGGTCGGCCAAACTTATAAAACCCATTATAAAACAACTTTTCCATCAACTTTTTATCAAATATAAGCCGACAGCGAAAAATATTATTTCATTTTTGAGATTGCAGATTATTTATGTATCTTTTCTAGCGATCTCTTAAAAGTAGAACCCAAGTAGCACTAATTTGATAAGATACGAGAGGCTATAAGTTGTGTTAACGATTCGTATAACTAATATTTCATCTGTTTGAATCAGGAAGCTCGATGGATGGCGGAAGTGGTTAGAGCGTTCGGCTGCGATCGTTGAAGTTAAACAACTTTCGCAGTGTTCGGTCATTGGATGAGTGACCAAATATTATACAATCTCAAGCTCCTCCGTACTTCAAGCTCACGTTAAGGCACGTTAAACCGTTGGTCCCGGCTGCATCTGCAGTCGTTAGCATCCACCAATCTGCACTGGGCCTGCGTGGTGGGTCACAAGCCGATCTCCCTGTTCCATCCGTAGGGAAGGTTTTGTGTCCCAATACTGAGGACATTAGGCTGATTTTTATTTATTTATTAACATCAACAAGATTAACACCAACTCATTGAAAAGTATCTTACAAACAATGTTGAAACAAGGAAAGTGCTATCGTAATTAAAGATGTTCCACAATAGCACTGTTAAGCAAAAAAATATCACATATATGTCAAAATTTGGATTGATGTGAAATTATTAGTAGTAAAATACATAAAAAAAAACATTATTCTAATTACGGTATGCACTCCGGGAGTGCCGGCAGAAGTGAAAACTTGAATATTAACGTTGTGCATTTTTGATATTTTGGAATGGTTAGGGAATAATTTTGCACGAATTGCTTTAATTATCAGTATAAAAGTACTATCATTTATGTGGTAGAATACAATATTTATTTATTGCGCTATCGTACACAAACATGACAATTTATATTACATCTCTCAGAAAAATCAACTTATATGAATCACGTTTAAGCGCACCTAACGATATTTATTGTAAAAAAATGCATTTTCTTCGCAATAAGTACGATAAAATAAAATATTACTAAGTTTCGTCCAATATATTGAAAGTCAACAACCTTTCCAATTTTGTTGTTTTCGTCTTACGAATTTTCGATCAGGCCAGATGTCCTGACGCGAGTTTCACATTTTTTACCCATTACAAAAAAGTCTACAACGCCGCTAAAGAAGTTTTCACTTCAAAAATATTTATATCATTATTCGATCAAATGTCAGGAAATATTGAAAAGTAATGGAAATTAAATCGATATTATTGTTTACTAGCGGTCCGCCCTCGCTTCGCTTCGGTGTATAGCTGAAGTGTAGACTACAGTTTTTGTTCTCAGGTTCTCAGACAGACACAACGACATTCATCTTCCTGCATGCAAAGTTTCAGCCCGATCGGTTTAAAATTGACAAAGTTTCATACAAACTTTCATTCCCTACTTTATCCCCTTGGGGGTAGAATTGATCAAAATCCTTTCTAAGCGGATGCCTACGTCATAACATCTACCTGCATGCCAAATTTTAGGCGGATCCGTCCGGTGGTTCGGGCTGTGCGTTGATAGATCACTATGTCAGTCGGTCACCTTTGAGTTTTATATATATATATAGATTATTAGTCGACAAGTAGTCATAAATGTATGTGTGTCTCAGGGTGGGCATCGAGCGTACAACAGGGTCGTCGGCGCCCGCGTACGAGAGCGCCGCGGCCGTGCCCCCGCCGCCCTGCGCCCCCGCCGCCGCGCCCGCACCCGCCCCCGCACCCGTACCGGCCGCGCCTTCTTCTGACTCTGACTCGGACTAAACATCAACTTGCGACACCAACGCAACCTTAGATTAAAACAAAAAGGGTAGATACGGTACGCTCATACTTGCATCAAACAAAAACTGATCCCAAGGCAGCGCGAACGGGACCGTTCACTGCATTACTGACCCGAACGAAACACCACGTTAAGTTTCAACGGCAGCGCGAACGAGACGGCGAGATCCGCGGCACTGCACTACCGACCATTCACGCGACTACTACTCAACGTCACTACCGAATAAGATTCAAAACAAACAGCAATTTTTATGAAGAAATATGTTTTAAAGTACTTACGAATGAAAAGTGATGCCGTGGGCTTTATTTTTAGTTCTTGAGCAATTTGAGCACTTTTTAAAAACACACTTAGGCATTGTTTTATCATATAAACACAAAATATTAGTAATATTTCTTTTTGGCGTTCACATGTACGTCGTTTGCATGTCAAGTTGTGACTAAAGCGATTAGGGTCGTGGACCACAATTCATGCGGATCACTTTTGTGAGGCTAGTGCCGTATCTACCCTTTTTGTTTTAATCTAAGAACGCAACACAGCAGACGTCCGCGCACCACCGCGAGCCCGGCTGCCGCCCCCGCCCCTTCTTCTGGCTCTGAATCAAAATAGACCGGTGAGACCGCAACGCGACTGAGCGACTTCGCAGAGAGAGGGCCTTAAATCCAATTAAGGCAAGACGAGTCACCCGTTTACAAAGAATAAGCACATTTTGACAAGTCATCAACCAGAGAAAAATCGTAAGGCCCTAGGCGCCATATTTTAAAATATGCTCCCCTTGGAGGACTCCTTCGTTGCGCCGCGCCGAGTCCTTCGCACCTCCAAATCCGGCCCTGACCCTGCGTGCCGCACGCATATGAGCTGCCGCCGTCGCCCCGCGCCATCCTCCGACTTCGACTCGGACTATATTGATGCATCCGACGAGATCTTCTGGCACTTTTCAACATTAACAGGAGGGTGTTGCCGGTGAATAGGTGAAGTGAACTCCTTACTAAAGATAAAGTTATAGTTTACGATAACTCGAAAAGAGCAATAGGAAATATAAAAGGGTTATTTACACCTTCCTCTATAAGAAAGGTTTATAAATACCTTTTTAAATTACTTCCGATTTTGGCCACGCCCCGCTACAACTTGGTCACAACCGTAACCAAATTGTACACAATCACCGATGAACCGTGGAATAAACATTGGCAACATTTTGTTTTCATTAATTTTACATACACTACTGAAGTAACCGGATAGAACAGGCTGTGTCGTTTTAAAAATAAAAAAACACCGAAAATGAATCCGTCGAATAGCAAGTTTAATGTTTGTTTCGTCCTTAGTTGAACTTATTTGTGAAGGTATGTATATAATAGTTCAAAAGTAATCGAAATTAATAAGTAATTCTACAATTATTACTTCCTCAGCCAATAAAATGTATATAACTACGGTATTGCTATATTTCAATTTTATCTTGTCCGGTGATATCCGATCCTGTAACCGGGTCGAAGTAAGCACCTAAGTTGGAGGCAGCATTCGTTATTGAGCTCGATATTGTGTTGTTATTAAATTTGAAGAAACTACATAGTAACGGCGTAGATTCACAAAATATCAACGTTAAAGGCAAAATCATATTAAGTACTTAAGTGTTAGCTACGACTGCTACGGCTTGGGGGTGTAGCCTACTAAGTACTCCATTTAAAGAAGCAATGTTTTATCCTAAGTTGTTGCTTCATTGATTTAAGTGATATTTATTTACATATCGATATAATAGTGTGTCTAATATTTATGTGTAGATAAAATTGATCGTCCTATTACAAAAAGGGATAAAATGCCTAATAAATTACACATTTTATTTTAACATCCACCAAGGAAAAATTAAATATTTTACCAAAAAACCTTAATGTATGTAATTTCTAATACTTTCCGTATTAGAAAGCTAAAATTTAATGCTTTTTTGTAATAAGATTGAAAAATAATGAGAAAGGACGCAAGTCCACCGAGTACTATCTAGTCATAAAGGTAACTCTAGTCGATAATACTTTAAAAACTCCATATTAGCGATGATAAGGATGGAGCACTCTAAGAAAAATACTAATATTAAGGTAGGCATTGTCAGAGACAATAAGAATCGGTGATGTGCAAAAACGAGGCACATCAGGGCTTAAATGCTTATAATCTTTTGGAGTGCTATCAAAGGCATCTATTTAACTCATTCCCAGGAAATATGGAGCGCCAGAACCGACGCGAAAACTGATTGCAAAATATATATATATTTACAATGAGCGTGTGTATATAGACAAGAATGTTGATGAAAGTAATACTGCGGGCCTCTGTACCGTGGTAATAATATAGACACAATATCTTATTTTAGCAATGAATTGTAGGCTTTCCGCTATTATAAGAAATGCTTTTTGTGACATACCAATGATGAAAATTAATATTTAGTAAAAATTTGAATGGTTCGAAGAGGGAAGGAAGTGATATAAAGCTTTTTTCGTGAGATTTGTATAATTAAAACGGCGACCACAATGTAATGAATTGGCTGTTAGGGTTTTGGCAATAATTCCCTGCATTTGTAACATAGCGACCATACCTAGAGCTGGTGATTCGGTTCGAGCCAACATAATATATCTAATAAATAAATCGTGTACCTATTTATTGTGTAATAAAATACACTTTAGGTGTGTTACTCGTAGCACAAAAAATTTCCATGAATTTAAGGAGGTTCGTAAAGTGTTGCTACGTTATTGATAGACGTAATGTATTCTTGTTTGAGTATAATACTGTGCTTATAGTTAGTGTTTCGAACAATTTATACGGAATAGAAATGTGTATTTTGATTATTAATGAAACTTAATCGCTATAATATAGTGTGGAAGTGACATTACCTATTGTATCTCCATTGCATAATGTGTATGGCTATCTACATAAAATTATATAGATGTTACTGCTATAATATTGTTCGTGAACGAAAGTTCACTTTATATTCGAAACATAATTAAAACAGGAAACAATAAAGTATTACCTGCGTTGTCCGATGGATGTCTGCGAGTGGATGCCACCCTAGAGGTAGAAAATGTAAAAATCAATAAGAATAAAGGAATTCTTGTACCTAATACTCTATTAATGTTAAGCTAAACTTATAATAAAGGAGAATAAAGCTATATGATATGTTCACTGATACAGATCACACGTTTGTTTGTATGATAAATTTATGATATTAGGCTCTGTTGAGATGTGTTGCATGTACCCAGTACCTACAGTGGACCCTGTTCTGTTGTTAATAAAATTATTATGACTGTGACCCTTTTATTACTTATATTGTCACTGCCGTGTCATTTTCCTTTTCTTGCCCCCAGAGTTAGTTCGGATCAATGATATCATAGTAAAGGAGTCAGCCACCACCGACACCGACACCGGCTCGAGACAACTGCATATGAATTATGATACTACACAACGCTACTGTTTTGATCCGAGTATATCTAAATTTTATGAGAATGGATAATTGTATTTAAAGAACATTATGAAAATTATTAAATACTAGCTTTTGCCCGCGACTTCGTCCGCGTTTTCATCGTTTTTCGTAAAAAAGTAGCATATGTCCTTCCTCAGGGTTCCGTGGTTTTGATGTGACAGACAGATTAACTTTCGTATTTTAGTAGGGAAATATAATACTGTTAAAAATATCGCAATAAGGAACCGCAGAATATTATTATTATCACTGTGCCCCGAGACCATCAGCGTGTAACTCCTTGTATGTTATTATGTTAATGTATTGGTAATATTGTCTAGATCGCTTTCACATGAGTCTTAAGTACATATAGAATGAAAATACTTCAGCGCAAAGCTTCCGGGTAAACTACGTTGAAATTTGACCCGTCCGGCACGTTAACATAAAAAATTCTAGGACTGCTATCCCGGGAAAGACCAACATAACTGACCATGTGAAAAACAACTGACACCGAGATCTACTCCAACAACACGAAAAGTCTGCCCTTGAGCCTTATTTATTGTCATTGCATAACACACCGATACTGGGAATTGCGTTCTTTTAAATTGGAATGGAAAATTATTTGGTATTATAGGAATTCTGGGAATAAAGATGGTTTCTCCTGCACCGCAACCTATTAAAATTTGAGCCTCGATTACATTTTGTTGCAACTGGGTTACTTTAAGCCGAGTTCCATTGCAAATTTGTGGTGGTCTTAAATTTCGGAGCAGAATAATCGGAATGCCAATTTTTAAACAAATTTCATGAGAAGGAAGTCCGGGCATATTTAAAGAATTTAAAAATTCTATCGGGTAATTAGTGGCTTCTTGTTCATCGGCCATTCTATTTATTGAACTATAAACTTTGCTTTCCCCCTGGATATTCGACAGTATTTTATTATTAATCTCAGATGCCTGGTCATTGCGAGGAGTTAAAATGGACCTTTCGCATAGCCAAGAATTGTTCTTATTTAATATATTTATTACGTCACCGTAAACTGACGATGTAAGATGTTGTTGGGATTGCACTATACAACATAACTCAGGCGTCAGAATAAGTTTTCCTTGGTGTTGCAGTGGATAGGTATCTTTGGTGAAGGTATTTTCTTTAATAATATATCAGAAAATTCACGATCATCCGGGTTATCTACAGTTCTCACTCGCATGTTTATAGTCAAATGCACCGATTGTATATCACGCCACAAATAAGAGCTTTTCAGGCAATCCCTAACCTCAGCAGCTCGGGTTCCCCGTGGTATTACCGGTAAGGTTTGTCGGAAATCACCACAAAATAAAACTGTGATACCGCCCATGGGTCGATCATTTTGTCTTATATCTCTTAAAGTTCTGTCTACCGTTTCTTCTCCTTTTCGATGGGCCATCGTACATTCATCCTATATGATTAAATTACACTTTGAACGAATATTTAAACACTACCAAAACAACTAATACGTGGTCCTAACTTTAGCTACCTTACACATAAAATCTAAGTGTCTATTTGAACTAAAATATTCTTATAGAATTATAAGCAGAAATATATACAACTCACAACAAAAAAGAAATGAAAATAAAGCTGAAACGCCTGTGCAATACTATCTACCTATACCTACTTCACTTAAAAATAAATACTTATAACTACTTTAATTAATAAAAGTACCTACGCTTAATAATTTTTAATTTGAACGAATATTTAAACACTACCAAAACAACTAATACCTATTTTACAAAATAACAACAAAAGAAATTCAAATAAACTATTTAAAGACTAAAAGTCGCGCTGATAAGCACGGTTTCGGTCTCCCAGGCGGGGGAGCAGATGAGAAATCCTCATGGATACCCTACAGCCGGCTGCAAGGTTATGTCAGACTCGTACTGACTAAAAAATACCCGTAGGGGCTGCATCTGGCCGGGAAGGCCTCTAAGGCTTCATCGGAAGCGATCGTCCCCCAGGGGGGGAGCGACGCAGAAAACAGATTTAGACAGCTCGCTCTCGGACCTTTGATACCCTACCGCTGCCGCGACCCGTGTCGAGCGCGGCAACCGTTACACAAAAATAATCCTTAAAGCATGATTCAGTATTCACGTGCGACGACGCGATGGCTTATTTCATGTATAAGTTTGGTGTTTTATACCGAGTATTATAAACGTAAGAGTAAACAAATATGATCAGAATGCTCCGAACTGCTAAGCTATCGGGAGTTACACGTGTTATTGTGAGTCAACCATAAAAGATAGACATATGCTGTTGCAGGATATTTTTTAGACAATTTTATGTAGAATGTTTCCGTCATACATGATTTCTATGTAACTTTAATCATTAAGGCTGCAAACGCGACGGAAGCTTAAAAAATGGAGTAACTTCTCCCGTTTTCCCAACATTTCCCTTCACTACTCTGCTCCTACTGATTGTAGCGTGATGAAAAGTATACTATAACCTGCCCAGGAGTATGAAGAATAATTGTACCAAGTTTCGTTAAAATCCGTCGAGTAGTTTTTGTTTCTATAAGGAACAAACACACAGACAGACAGACAGACAGACAAAAAATTTACTGATTGCATTTTTGGCATCAGTATCGATCACTAATCACCCCCTGATAGTTATTTTAAAAATATATTTCATGTACAGAATTGACATCTCTACAGATTTATTATAAGTACTAGCTTTTGCCCGCGACTTCGTCCGCGTTTTCGTCGTTTTTCGTAAAAAAGTAGCTTAGGTCCTTCCTCAGGGTTCAGTGGTTTTGATGTGACAGACAGATTAACTTTCGTATTTTAGTACATTATTATTATTATTATTATTGACAAAATGTCAATCCAGATAATGTATGCCGTTCGCGGTCAGCTGTGAGACTTAATTCCCTCTCAGTGTAGGTTTCGGACTCGCGAGATTATGTATGCCGTTCGCGGTCAGTTGTGAGACGTAATTCTCGTTGTGCAGCAGTTTCAGCTTCTCGGGATAACGTATGTTGTTCTCGGTCAATGGTACGCTTTTGCTCTCGTTGAGAAGATCTTTGAGACGTCCGTGATGTAGCTCATCTTGCTCTTTTAGCTGCTAATCGCATCTCTCTCTCTGGAGAGTTTTCATTGGCTCGAAAAGTTGAGGCTCTAACTCTCATAGAGTTTAACCGATTTGCTCTTTCTTCTGCCGATTCTTGAGATCGCGTAATTCTCATTCTCTTAGCTTTACTCGAAGTTCGAGATAAAGATAATGGTTTTTTAGGTGGCATTGTGTAATAATCTACGGTAACGAAAAGGCTGTCAGTTACCTAACAAAATTACCTACGTTAGAGGTCCTAACTTTAGCTACCTTACACTTAAAATCTTAATGACTATTTACACTAAAATATTCTAATAGAATTATACCCAGAAATATATACAACTCACAACAAAAAAGGAATGAAAATAAAGCTGAAACGCCTGTGCAATACTATCTACCTATATCTACTTCACTTAAAAATAAATACTTATAACTACTTTAATTAATAAAAGTACCTATGCTTAATAATTTGTAATTTGAACGAATATTTAAACACTACCAAAACAACTAATACGTGGTCCTAACTTTAGCTACCTTACACTTGAAATCTAAGTGACTATTTAAACTAAAATATTCTTATAGAATTATAACCAAAAATATATACAACTCACAACAAAAAGGAAATGAGAATAAAGCTGAAACGCCTGTGCAATACTATATACCTATACCTACTTCACTTAAAAATAAATACTTATAACTAATTTAATAAGAAAAGTACCTACGCCTAATAATTTTTAATTTGAACGAATATTTAAACACTACCAAAACAACTAATACCTATTTTACAAAATAACAACAAAAGAAATTCAAATAAACTATTTAAAGACTAAAAGTCGCGCTGATAAGCACGGTTTCTCAATATCAATTATTGTCTGTCAATAAGGTCGAACGCTCTAAACGCACACCGCCGCCGCGACCCGGCAACCGTTACACAAAAATAATCCTTATAGCATGATTCAGTATTTACGTGCGACGGCGCGATGGCTTATTTCATGTATAAGTTTGGTGTTTCTATACCGATTTCTATAATTCTTTTTTTCTTGAATACGTAATAATGTTATCTTTTTTAAATTAGGGATGAGTGAGAGTATTATAAACGTAAGAGTAAACAAATATAATCAGAATGCTCCGAACTGCTAAGCTATCAGGAGTTACACGTGTTATTGTGAGTCAACCATAAAAGATAGACATATACTCTTGCGGAATATTTTTTAGATAATTTTATGTAGAATATTTCCGTCATACTTGATTTCTATGTAACTTTAACCATTAAGGCTGCACACGCGACGGAAGCTTAAAAAATGGAGTTCCCGTTTCCCAACATTTCCCTTCACTACTCTACTCCTATTGATTGTACCGTGATGAAAAGTATACTATAACCTGCTCAGGAGTATGAAGAATAATTGTACCAAGTTTCGTTAAAATCCGTCGAGTAGTTTTTGTTTCTATAAGGAACATACACACAGACAGACAGACAGACAGACAGACAAAAATTTTACTGATTGCATTTTTGGCATCAGTATCGATCACTAATCACCCCCTGGTAGTTATTTTGAAAATATATTTCATGTACAGAATTGACCTCTCTACAGATTTATTATAAGTATAGATAAGCGCGGTTTCTCAATATCAATTATTGTCTGTCAATAAGGTCGAACGCTCTGAACGCATCAACAGCCAAATATTGAATGAAGCTGCCTATGGCCTTAGGGGCCTTACAGGCTTCATCTGATGCGATCAAACCCCTGAGAAGGGGATGATGCAGCGCTGCCTTAGTAAATACTACTGCATAGTGCGCTTAGAGGACGGATGCACCCTGATGT